ACCGTCTGTCATGACCGCGGGCCTGATCTGCTGGGTGAGGAGGGGTCCGGGAGGGTGAGGCGACAGGCGGCGGGCTCCCCTGAAGCAGCCTGTCTGGGCTCCTCTGTCCTGGACAGGGAGGCCGGGGCTCTTCTCTTTGGCTCTTGTCCCCGATTGGCGTCGAGTCGCTTGGCAGCGTTGTGCCGGTCTCCGCCACACGACAACGTGAGTCTGTGAGCGGTGCACACCTACGCCCGCCCTCCTGAGCATCCTTCCACCGCCTCCCACCCCTCTGGGTCATCCCGGAGCCCCGCACCTCGCTCCCCGCGTGTGCACGGCTCCCGCTGGCTGGCTCTCTCACACATGGTGATGTTCATGCTCTCTCTCACTTCACCCCACCCTCTCCTCCCCCGCTGCGCCCACAGGTCTCTTCTCCACGTCTGCGTCTCTACTCCCACCTTACAAAGAGGTTCATCAGTGCCATTTCTCTAGATTCCATACACATATGTGTTAATACACGATATCTGATTTCACTCTGACTCTTATTAAAATATTTCCATTGACTAACACAGGTACCTGTGGTCCACAAATTTATCAGATACTATTAAAAATGTGATGGCTTTGATACTTGAACTATGGTTTGGGAACTGCTGGGTGAAGAATGTAGGGAACTCTGTGCTATTTGCTTTTGTGACTTTTTTTCTGGTATCGCAAGTGCTCCTAGTCACTGTTTATTATTTATACTTCCGTTCTCCTTGAAGCCAGGCTAATTCTGATTCTCAACATCTAAAATTACTCCACAAATTTTAAATAAATGATTACTAATGAGTTATTTCCCTTAGTTTGGCGTTCTATATTTAGGGCTGAATTTCCTGCACACAAATAACTGCTGCGTTTTTATATCAGATTTGCTGTGGATGGAATGTCTGTGCCCCCAGGTTTGTACGCTCAGGCCCTGACCCCCCTGGGGATGATGCAGGGGTGGGGCCTTGGGGTGAAGGGGCCATGAGGAGCCCTCAGGATGGGAACAGTGCCCCGAAGGCTCCACAGCACGGCGCCCTCCTCTGCCGCCCCTGCCCACTCCCAACCTCCTCTCTCGCCCACCCCCTAAGTGAAGACACAGCCCGGAGGCAGCCACTCCACGCCAGGAAGATGGTTCTCTCCAGAAACTGGCAATAGACACCTTGATCTTGTACTTCCCGTCCTCCAGAACCAAGAGAAATTCAGTCCATGGTATTTATTACAGCAGCCTGAGCTAAGATGAGATTCCAATTCTTCCTGGTACCGTCATTAAAATATCTCTACTTCTATCCATTAAATAGGTTTCCATTAAACTGACGATCTGTGTGACTTGAGGCAAGTTAATTTCTTCATGCCTCGGTTTCATCCTCTGCAAGGAAAATAAATTTCTGCACAGGTTTAAGCAAGTCAATCGGGTAAAGTGCCTCAAAGGTGCCCCTCTGGTGGAAAGTGCTCGGTCACTGAGCTGCCGTTGCTGTCAGTATTCAGGAGCTGCTGAGTCCACGGTCCTAGAGCAGAGCCATTTCTCTGCACAAACGTGCAGACCAATCCTCGAGCGATGTGACCCAGACTATAGTCAGAGGTGCCACTGGCTGGCTTTCATGCATGAAAGTCTCTGACTCAGTGCAGGTCTCTCCCCCGAGATGATTCCACAGTCAAGTTCAACTCTTGGTGACGATGGCGTGATCAGCCCCTGAGCCCCAGGCGGCTCGCCTTGCTCTCCCCATGAGGGGGGTCTCTCTCCTGCAGCAGGTACCGTGAGCCGCCCCAGCGGGGCCCCGGTGGGTATTCATCAGTGCCATTTCTCCAGATTCCATACACATATGTGTTAATACACGATATCTGATTTCACTCTGACTCTTATTAAAATATTTCCATTGACTAACACAGGTACCTGTGGTCCACAAATTTATCAGATACTATTAAAAATGTGACGGCTTTGATACTTGAACTATGGTTTGGGAACTGCTGGGTGAAGAATGTAGGGAACTCTGTGCTATTTGCTTTTGTGACTTTTTTCTGGTATCGCAAGTGCTCCTAGTCACTGTTTATTATTTATACTTCCGTTCTCCTTGAAGCCAGGCTAATTCTGATTCTCAACATCTAAAATTACTCCACAAATTTTAAATAAATGATTACTAATGAGTTATTTCCCTTAGTTTGGCGTTCTATATTTAGGGCTGAATTTCCTGCACACAAATAACTGCTGCGTTTTTATATCAGATTTGCTGTGGATGGAATGTCTGTGCCCCCAGGTTTGTACGCTCAGGCCCTGACCCCCCTGGGGATGATGCAGGGGTGGGGCCTTGGGGTGAAGGGGCCATGAGGAGCCCTCAGGATGGGAACAGTGCCCCGAAGGCTCCACAGCACGGCGCCCTCCTCTGCCGCCCCTGCCCACTCCCAACCTCCTCTCTCGCCCACCCCCTAAGTGAAGACACAGCCCGGAGGCAGCCACTCCACGCCAGGAAGATGGTTCTCCCCAGAAACTGGCAATAGACACCTTGACCTTGTACTTCCCGTTCTCCAGAACCAAGAGAAATTCAGTCCATGGTATTTATTACAGCAGCCTGAGCTAAGATGAGATTCCAATTCTTCCTGGTACCGTCATTAAAATATCTCTACTTCTATCCATTAAATAGGTTTCCATTAAACTGACGATCTGTGTGACTTGAGGCAAGTTAATTTCTTCATGCCTCGGTTTCATCCTCTGCAAGGAAAATAAATTTCTGCACAGGTTTAAGCAAGTCAATCGGGTAAAGTGCCTCAAAGGTGCCCCTCTGGTGGAAAGTGCTCGGTCACTGAGCTGCCGTTGCTGTCAGTATTCAGGAGCTGCTGAGTCCACGGTCCTAGAGCAGAGCCATTTCTCTGCACAAACGTGCAGACCAATCCTCGAGCGATGTGACCCAGACTATAGTCAGAGGTGCCACTGGCTGGCTTTCATGCATGAAAGTCTCTGACTCAGTGCAGGTCTCTCCCCCGAGATGATTCCACAGTCAAGTTCAACTCTTGGTGACGATGGCGTGATCAGCCCCTGAGCCCCAGGCGGCTCGCCTTGCTCTCCCCATGAGGGGGGTCTCTCTCCTGCAGCAGGTACCGTGAGCCGCCCCAGCGGGGCCCCGGTGGGTCTCTCTCCTGCAGCGGGTACCGCGAGCTGCCCCAGCGGGGGCCCGGTGGGTCTCTCTCCTGCAGCGGGTACCGCGAGCCGCCCCAGCGGGGCCCTGGTGCCACACCTGAGGCTCGACGGAGCCGGGCCCCCTGGGCAGCAGCATGGGGAACGACGGGCGGGCTGAGCGTGCACAGCCTGGGGTCTGTGTTCAGAAGCCCCAGGACTGGGAGCAACCCCCAGCCAGGTGGTCCTGCCTGAGGCGGGCCGAGACCCTCCCGGCTGAGGTCTGCCTGCTCCCCCGCGGGGCGGGGCCACCATGGGTTTTCAGGGCAAAGGGCCGGCACTCTGCCCACGCCGCTCCGTCCCTTACCACTGGGTGAGTCTCTGTTTTACGGTGGTTTTCTCTGAAGCTGTCCGCTCCCTGCCCCCCACATGTGACTTTGACAATGGAGGAGCCTTAGTAAAAAAGAGAGCGTGGTCAGTGAGGGGCGGCAACAGTGTGGACCAGGTCGTGCCCCAACCCCCGGGGTCCACCTGCTATGGGCCTGGGGGCCCAGCCATTAGTCAGAGCGGACCCCCCAAACCCTGCAGCATCAGTCCAACCAGAGGGAACACAGGCGAGAATCGCAGCCCCAGGTGCAAGGATGCAGGTCGGGAGGTTCTGAGAAAATAAAGCAACTTCTCTGAAACAGAGTCGCAGGGAGCCTGTGTCTGCCGTGGGGACTTTACCCACGGCCCCACCTGGTCATCAGCTGCGTGTGGTTCATTTCATGAGGTCACCCGGTGGCAAAGTGAGGGACCCTCCCCTTGCAACACCTTGAGACCCTCTGATTTTCCCTGAATTCTTATCTGACAGGAAAGCATGGGGTAGAAAACTTGATTAGTTTTCAAAGAAAAAAACGCGAGCAAGTTCCCCAAAGTAGCTCTCTCTGGGACAGCCTCCCCCACTCCGACTCTTTCCTTCAGCTGACCCTCTGAGTCTTTTTTTTCTATAAGATCTGTCATTCACAATAAAAGTCAGTCAGCTTTTCCATTTCTGTGATAGCTTACAGTCCCTAAATACAAATGGGAACACAGTCCACGTGCTCATCTGACGAGAGAGGATGCCCCTGTCCAGGAGGACGGTGTGTCCGCCGGGTAGGATGCGGTGGGCCCAGAGCAAGGAGCGGAAGTGGCTGCCGGCTGGGCTTCCACCCTAACTCGGCACAGTGGGCATCGCGGCAGACAGGTCCGGTCACCCTGAGGCCCCGCGACTGAGCGTGGGCTTGGCGGGAGCCCAAAGGAGAAGCTGTCCTGTGACAGCGCCCACCCAGACGTGCCCTGAGCGGGGCGTCCGGCCAGGAACACGGAGGTGGAGCCACCGCGGCCAGACCCTCATGGGTAAGTGCTGCGGGGGTGTGATGGCTGGGAGCACAGGGCCTGGGGTCCCCACTCACGCTGTGTCTCTGCAGGACCCCATCACCTGGGGCCTCGGTTTGGTCCTCTGGAAAATGATGCTAGCGATTGGGCAGTTGTAAAAAGTAATAAATTAACCTGTGTGCATTTCTCAGCACCCCACGCAGAGCAGAGGAGCACAAACACCCAAAGGGCTGCTGTTATCATCACGGCCCGACGCCCTGAAACACCTGGACCACCCCTCACCTGCCCCGCCCAGGCCGCACCTTCACCAGCGGCATCTTGTGCCATGGCTTCTGGTGGCCCATCTCCAGGGCACAGCCATGCTCTCAGAGCCCTTCTCTGCACGGCGCTCACGACACGCTGGATGCTGAGTGTCTGGGACCTCGGGAGACGGGTGCATGTGAACCAGCAGCTCTGCATCCAGCCCGGCCTCGGGGCCGGCCTCCCCTGGTCTGAAGGCCTGGGCAGCCCAGCCGCACCGCGGGGAGCGCCTCACCTGTGACGTGCAGCTTTTCATCCGTGACCTCGGCCTTCAGGTAGATGCGGCCCCGCTTCTCCGTGTGGTCCATCCCGCAGAGGCTGGGCACGTTGATCACGCACTGCTTGTGCACATTCATGTCGCAGGCTGCGAGTCAAGAAGGCAAAGGGTGAGCTGGTGGGTGGCCTGGCATCACACCCCACCCGTGTTTTGGTTGCGTGAACAGAAGTGGAAGTCAGCCGCCCTCTAACTCGATACTCTGCCGTTGGGCGTCGCTGACATAAAGCACTGCTAGCAGATGTCCCTCACAGCACAGGCTCCTGTGAGTGACACATCCTGAAATACTCCATCCATGTCTGTCCAGCCATAACCGAAGCAGACCACCCCCGCCTGGCCTTCCGAATGTGCCTGCAGTGTTAACAGCAAACAAAATCCAGGCCCGTGAATGCGTACAAACGGTCTAATTAGTACTTTATCCACACAGAGGCAAGCAGTATACACATTTTAAACAGGATTCTGTCTGCCAAAGACTTTCTTGTGCCTTCCTGAGAATTTGTGGGGCTGAGTATACGATACTCAGAAAATGCTCTTTTCCTCAGCGAGCTCTTTATTTCCAAGGAGGCTGAAGAGCATTGCTTTTGTTTGTTGTTGCTTTTAAAAGACCCTGTGATTGATATTTTAAACCTATCTTCAAATATTTAAATATTATTCTGCGTAAAACAAATACACGCCTGGCTTGATAAGGCATTCCTCAGCAGCTGACATTATGTGGGCGAGACAGGGGGAGGACTTAAGATCAGTCTTATTGTGGAGAACTAAAGACACCCTGAAAAGAGTCCTGTGCGCAGAGCACAAACATAAGACTGTGTAGGTGTTCCTGCTGCACTGGCCCCGAACCCCAGGCTTCCAGGAGGAGCGGGGGGCCCTGGAACCCTCAGGAATTCCCCAGGGGCACCACAAGGCTCTTCTGACACTTGAAGGTGGAGCCTTCTCGCTACTCTCATTTTGAGTGTTTAACTCCTCGGTCCACGGGACTCTCCAGGCAAGAGCACTGGAGTGGGCTGCCATCTCCTCCTCCAGGGACCTTCCCGACCCGGGAACTGAACCCTCAGCTCTTGCATCTTCTGCGCGGGCAGGTGGGCTCTTTACCAGCTGAGCCACCGGGGAAGCCCATTAACTTTAACATGATGAACTGAACCGCAAGAAGCAGTGTGAAGCACAGGTCTCAGTCACACAGGGCTCTCAAGAAGCTGTGCTGTGACCTGCACTGACCACCTCACTTGGGCAGAACTTGAAGGAGAAAAGGCCAGCACCTCTGGAACGGCCGTGGGCCCGGGATGGCGGCGGAGAAAGGACCTGTGTTGGCCTCATCACTCGGAGCTGGTGGGTCCTAGGAAGCGCCCGCTCCTGCTCTGCCCGCTGTGAGGTGAGCCTGCAGAGGGTAGCTGACTCCCCGCCAAGCAGGGATGCTCACAGCGCCATCACGCTACAGGGTGTAGGGGCACGGGGAGAGGGGGTCTCCACTGCCCAGGTCAGGGGAGGGGTCTGGGCCCCGACCACTGGCTCATGCTCCTCCCGCTCCAGCTTGGAACACAGACAGCAGCCCAGAGCCCCTCAGACTCCGAGGAAAAGAGTTAAATACACAACACAACACAACACACTGCTTCAGGTGGGAACACAGTCCATAACCAGAATCTGAAGCAGAAGCCTAACATACAAACCAGGTGCATGTTATTGTACTAGCCTGTGTGCGTGCTAAGTCACTTTAGTCGTGCCCGACTCTGTGACCCCAAGGATGCAGCCCTCCAGGCTCCTGCATCCATGGGATCCTCCAGGCAAGAATGCTGGAGTGGACTGTTATTTCCTCCTCCAGGGGTCTCCCCAACCCAGGGACTGAACCCGCATCTTACTTACATCTCCTGCTTGGGCAGGCAGATGGATTCTTTACCACTGAGTCACCAGGGAAGGCCTTTTGTTAGAATATATTTGGCTAACAAATTCAAATCTATACCATTTATTTACTATTAGGACATTCCTTGGTAACCATTAACACCCTCTGATCCTAACACAACTATGAACCGAACTGTTGGGGACGCTCGATGGAGACTCAGCTCAGCCTCGAGGATGCATTCATTCCTGGCCTGTGTTAAAGCTGGCAGCACCCAATCCTGGTCCACCCAGAAGGTACACCTGGCACCCCTATTTAAGGGCACGGGTCATGGTCCCAGCCGACACGGAAGAGGATGCGGCAGAAGACACGTGGCTTGTTCTGCCCGCTGAGTCAGTGGGCATCAGTCTCAAGGTCACCTTCAACTTGTTACGGTCGAGTGCCTAACACAGCCGCGTATTCCCTTTTGCTCCAAGTTTTACAACGGTCAAAAGTGTATTTACAAACGCACTTAGAATCCGCACTAACCCTAAAAGCGGTGTCTTTGGAATCCGATAATCTCTGGAAGCACAGGAAACCACCAGCCCTGAGGATCACAGGGGTTTCTTGAGGCTATTAGGGTCCAGGGCTTGGGAAGGTGAAGCCTGCGTTCCGAGAAGCTACCCATCTCCTCCATAAAGATCACACAGTCTGTCTTCTATGTACAGTTGACCCTGAGCAAAGTGGGTTTGAACCGCATGGGTCCTCTTAGACACGGATCCCTTCCAGAGAATTACACAGTTGGCCCCTGTATCCGCGGAGGGTTACCATGGATCCCCAGGGAAGAAGATGCAGGCGCGTGTCTTTGCTCCGTGTGGGGACAGATGAGGCTGTGGGCCACAACAGCAGCATTATCGAGCGACAACATGCTCACTGTACCCAAACTCTTCCTCATCTACTAGAAAAACAGGTTCGGTCATTACCTTCCCCAATTACCTTCTCCTGCCCTAAAAATAAAGTTTTATTGAAACAAATAAATAGCCTGGGGAACCTCATTACATGAGATTAATCAAAACAAAGAGTTTCATGAAAAAAAGAGATGTCTTTCTCTCCTCCTGCAGTTGGTGCAAACACACGCAGAACAAGAAGGGAGAAGGGGAGAGGCTGGGTGTCTTCCAGGATTTCATCTCTCACTTGCCTGGTAGGATCTGATCTGCCCATAATTATGCAGGATGAGGGAACTTAAAGCAAGATCCTGTTCTTATTTTCACTGTGGTTTTGGCTCCAAGGAGAACCCACTGGATTTTTCCACAGTCCACCCACTAATTGGAGACACGGGCGGATAATGACTGTGGATGCTCAGCTCATCTTGAAGCTGAACCAAATGTGGAATCTGGGGGTGGGGTGTCTTCTTTCAACACGTGGCATTTGCTTGGGGATTTGACCAGCCTGCATTTAACAGCGACTGGAGATTTCTACCATGAAAAACTGGGGACAGCACCAACTGCATGAAAGCAGGTGCTTTTTTGGGTTCATAATTAGGCAGGGAAGTCATGTAATAAACTAGAACCTCACCAGTGGAGAGATTCTATACTTTTGTAATTGAGTCCATATCTGAATGAAATCTACCGATTTTCTGAAAGGTTCCTGAGCATCACAGGGCCCCGCTGGCCCCAGGCATGCTGCAAAAGAACAGAAAACATACTCACTGTCACATTTCATCCCCTGGTGGATGAGTCCGTACAGCAGGGACCCGCAGTGATCGCAGAAGGTGGGGCTGCCATAGGTGTGGATCTTGAACTTGTGCTTACTCCTGGGGTCCTGCAGGGAAAAGTGGTGTAAAGACTGTCAGTCACGAGAGGACCACGTCTCGGACTAAGCCAAGCTCCAGCCTGCCCCTCCCGTCCCCACGGCAACGGTGGGGCCCGTCCTCTGATGTCCTACGGCGGCGGGGCTCCCGTTTCGGGAGCCACTGGACACCCGCACCTCCTCTTTCCAGGAATGACCTGCACACGTCGGGCTTGCCACCAGAACCACCGCTTCTGGAGCCAGAGCCATCAAGGGGATCAAGGTGCTCCAGGCGAGCAGAGCGGTTCAGACCACACGGTCAAGCATGTCCCCAGGGCCCAGCGTGGGCGGAAGCAGAGCGGGCCCCAAGTCAGGGTGTGTTCGTGAGGCTCAGCCGAGTGACCCTGCACCCAGTCAGCAGAGTTTGGGCCACCTCCTTTCGCACAAGGCTTCCAGAAATACATGCAAGACCAAACACAGACCCAAACCAGCACCATTTCCCAAGCACCATAGGCATCCCTTGTGGCTCAGGTGATGGAGAATCTGCCTACAGTGCAGGAGACCTGGGTTCAAACCTGGAGAAGGGAATGGCAACCCACTCCAGTATTCTTGCCTGGAAAATCCCATGGACAGAGGAGCCTGGTGGGCTACAGTCCACGGGGTCGCAAAGAGTCAGACACGACGGAAGGACTGACAGATACACACACACACACACACAGATGCTAGTGATCTTCAAAGTCTCGAGATCTGAACAACGGCCAAGACTTTAACACTGGTTCCCATGTGAGAGCTTTCAGAAATTCACTCAGAACGAGGCTCTGGCTCCTAACATTAAAAAAAAATTTTTTTTTTTAATATTCACAACACATATTTTTTGAAGCAAGAACACCACTGATTTTATAAATAAAGTTTTACTGGAACGCAGCTGTGCTCATTCCCTGACACCTTTTCTGTAGATACAATGGCCGAGTCGAGTGACAGAACCCCAGTGACCCACAAAGGCTAAAACACTACTTGGCGCTTACAGAACAAGTCTGCCAATCTCTGCTTCAGGACGGTGCTGTCTGAAGTACGGTCCCTGCGTGGCATTGTCATGACCTGAAACTTGTTAGAAATTAAATCACGGAGCCCCTCCCCAGACCAGCTGAATTAAACTCCAGGGACGAGGCTTCACCATGCCCTGCAGACGAGCCTCAGGCTGGCAGGGATGTGAAGGCGGGGAGCCCCTGCTTTAGGAGGTTTCTCCACAAACGCTGAGCGAGTGCCTAAGAGGTTCCAGGTGCACATATGTGTCCATGCCTGAGGCAGTCACTAGTTTATTCAGAAATGTCTCGCGGGGTCAGAGAAATCAACACCTTCCTTGGGCGGTTACTTTCCTGGCCAGTAGCAGCTGTGAACGTGGTCTGAAGGGGTAGCTTCTCCTCTTACCAGTTCTCCCAGCATCCCAGGACGCTGGACAGAATATCACGGGCACAGGCTGGCGTCAGCGCTAATCCAAAGTTCCCAGGACGGACAGTACAGGCTGTGCCCACCACGTGGAGGGCGGCGTGGAGGCCAGGGGGAAGGACAGCCCGTCGTCCCCGCAGAAGGATGGCGTCAACCTTCGGCGAGAGAAATCCAGCCTGGCAGCTCCCACACGGGCCCTGAGCCCGGGCGCACGGCAGCCCCAGGCGCTGTCCTGCCAGCCGGCCGTCACATCAATCTGTTGGCATGGCACGTGGGGGCTGGCTTCACTTTTCAGGAAGACCCAGGCTTCCTCCTCCAGGCTCTCACCTGGGAAGGTGTGGGAGGAGACCGGGAGTCACACACCCTAAAATCCACACGCAGCCAAGGACCGTGCCTACGATGACAGTGACGACACCAACACGGCCTCCTGCCCGTGGACCACCCCCGTGTGCGGGAGCTTTCTCACGGCTGACATCTCTCCTGCAAGAGGCTTTACAGGGTTCTGGAGACCTGCGACCTGAATCCAGCCTTGATACAAGCTCAGCAGCCTTGGAAAAGTCATGGCGTTTATTTATGAAGCAGAAATACAGCCAACGTCCTAGCCGGAGAGTGGGACTTAGGGAACAAATGAGAAAGGGCTTTGCAACTGACAAATGCCGGGATGAATACGAGAGAAGACGACTTCCAACCGTAACATGCTCATCAGTCATAAAAGAGATTTCCTAAAGTACAGCGCTGAATTTGTCACTGGACCAGAACCAAGGCTGGCGATTAAGTATTAACATTGTCTCTTGGCTTCCTGGAAACCAAAGCAAGAGGAGAAAAGAGATAAACACAATAGGCTCTCCTGGGATGGCAAGGCCACCTGTATGCAGAAATCTGTCTTCGCAGTCTCTAAAGTCATCTCTCATCTCACGTGCAGTGAACCGCCAACACACGCGTGTGAGAGGGACCTGCAGGTCCTGAACAGAGCACACTGTCCGGCCCGTTCACTGGGGACGCCCCCCTTTACCCACACAGAAGTGATGGGAAGTCTGGCCACGCTTGGTGCCACAGACACGCGACTGGTCTACGCACCAAAGCAGCACTGCCACCAGGCTGACGACATTTTCTTCATTTCGTGCAACACATGCAAATCTTACTTATTATTTCTCCAGGCACTGGCAACCTCTCATTAAGTGCAGCGTGAAACCCACTGTCATATGTCACAAGCCTGACATTATATTATAATGAATTCGGGAAACGCTTCGTTCAGATGCTCTGTCGTCTACACCTTTGGGGGAGAAGAAACGTTTTTGACTAAACCAATTTTCATAGGCACTGACGAAGTCTAACCTAGAAGTCTAAATCTAGACCTCTTAGGAAAAAATAACACAGGAGAGTTTCAAGTTCTATTGGAAGCATCTGCTAGCCTGCTTTTCCTATCTTAGTTTTATAATGTAGCAACATCATTGGAAAATTTCTCAGCATTTCTACCAGGACTTTTCAAAGTCATCACCATCACATTGTAATACATCCAAAGTAAACCCATGGGTCTCCAGTGCACAGTATTTTGAGGCTGATGACCTTGCATTTCTGGGACGTCTTCTTGAATTATCTGTAAGCATCCAGAAGGCGTATTCTAGATGAGTTTTAAATTGCAGGCTTCCAGGATGGAGACTCTTCTAGCAACGTGCAATGTGAAACCTCTAGAGGAGTTAGAAGCCCTCCTTCCCCAGGAGGCAGGCAATCAATGATGCTTTCTGATGAGGATGTTTATATTCANCCCCCGTGTGCGGGAGCTTTCTCACGGCTGACATCTCTCCTGCAAGAGGCTTTACAGGGTTCTGGAGACCTGCGACCTGAATCCAGCCTTGATACAAGCTCAGCAGCCTTGGAAAAGTCATGGCGTTTATTTATGAAGCAGAAATACAGCCAACGTCCTAGCCGGAGAGTGGGACTTGGGGAACAAATGAGAAAGGGCTTTGCAACTGACAAATGCCGGGATGAATACAAGAGAAGACGACTTCCAACCGTAACATGCTCATCAGTCATAAAAGAGATTTCCTAAAGTACAGCGCTGAATTTGCCACTGGACCAGAACCAAGGCTGGCGATTAAGTATTAACATTGTCTCTTGGCTTCCTGGAAACCAAAGCAAGAGGAGAAAAGAGATAAACACAATAGGCTCTCCTGGGATGGCAAGGCCACCTGTATGCAGAAATCTGTCTTCGCAGTCTCTAAAGTCATCTCTCATCTCACGTGCAGTGAACCACCAACACACGCGTGTGAGAGGGACCTGCAGGTCCTGAACAGAGCACACTGTCCGGCCCGTTCACTGGGGACACCCCCCTTTACCCACACAGAAGTGATGGGAAGTCTGGCCACACTTGGTGCCACAGACACGCGACTGGTCTACGCACCAAAGCAGCACTGCCACCAGGCTGACGACATTTTCTTCATTTCGTGCAACACATGCAAATCTTACTTATTATTTCTCCAGGCACTGGCAACCTCTCATTAAGTGCAGCGTGAAACCCACTGTCATATGTCACAAGCCTGACATTATATTATAATGAATTCGGGAAACGCTTCGTTCAGATGCTCTGTCGTCTACACCTTTGGGGGAGAAGAAACGTTTTTGACTAAACCAATTTTCATAGGCACTGACGAAGTCTAACCTAGAAGTCTAAATCTAGACCTCTTAGGAAAAAATAACACAGGAGAGTTTCAAGTTCTATTGGAAGCATCTGCTAGCCTGCTTTTCCTATCTTAGTTTTATAATGTAGCAACATCATTGGAAAATTTCTCAGCATTTCTACCAGGACTTTTCAAAGTCATCACCATCACATTGTAATACGTCCAAAGTAAACCCATGGGTCTCCAGTGCACAGTATTTTGAGGCTGATGACCTTGCATTTCTGGGACGTCTTCTTGAATTATCTGTAAGCATCCAGAAGGCGTATTCTAGATGAGTTTTAAATTGCAGGCTTCCAGGATGGAGACTCTTCTAGCAACGTGCAATGTGAAACCTCTAGAGGAGTTAGAAGCCCTCCTTCCCCAGGAGGCAGGCAATCAATGATGCTTTCTGATGAGGATGTTTATATTCAAAGGGACATCCCTTCAAAAGCCCTTTTAATTTGGTGAGTGAAATGATGGCAGGCTTTTGGCAGGAGGTCACCCTGGCGTGAACGCCCCACAGCTTTCTCAGAGGATGGAAGTGGCCGTCACTGAGGGCTGCAGTTCGGGGTGTAGGAGCTTCTGGAAAGGACTGTTGTTCAGTGAAGCCCTGGGTGGGCCTTGCTCAGCTGCTCAGAGCAGCGAGGCTCCTTCAAGCTGCTCCCTCTAAGCACTAGGAAGGTCCCTACTCTCACCATCTGAGATGTTCTCATGAGTCACACTCATGAGCCAGGCTTGGGTCTAAATGTCACCCACACAAGCAACACCAAAACTTTGCTCCAAGGCTGAGTCTGGCATTGTTTTTGCGATCTTAAACTTCTTGGGAAGCAGGTTTTTTGTTTCGTTTGGTTTTTTAAAGAAAAACCAAAAACTCTATGACTTAAAAAATTCGTATTTAAAACTTTTTGTTAACCTGAGAGTACTATCAAA